CATCTACCTACCTACCTACCTACCTACCTGCCTACCTACCTACTAGTGGTGGGTTCCGGATTCCGTTCCAACCAATATGGTTCGAATGGCCCCGGAGTTACCCACATATGCAGCGCGCGCATGCGGTCTAGTGTCAAATGATGCTTCTGCAAGCCTCCGCGACACTCCAGTTGCCCCATGGAGCATTGCGCAGGCGCCGCACGTGCTATGCACATGCGCAGAAGCGGCAATAGCATAAAGCACCGGTAAGGAGCGCGAGTGGGCGGGCGGGCTCTCCGGAGCACTGTACCAGAACGGTATCTGGTACTCCAGGCAGGTTCCGGTACACCTGTACCGGGGCATACCACCCCCAACCCACCACTGCTACCTACCTATCTAGCGTATCTACCTATCTATGTATCGAGGGGGGGAGAGAACATGTGTTCCAATATGTCAGTATTACAATATTACATACATTTCTAATCCAACCAGGCTCTCATTATAATTCTCTTCTTTCTATAACCTATTCTTTCTCATTATCAGAAATATAAATCACCAAGTCATTTTCTTTCTCATGCAAAAAGTTTCCAGTAATTGGTGAATTTCAGTGATTACCTTTCTCTACACTAGGCCTTTCATGACAACTATAACTCATTCATCTGGAAGTAAGATACACCGGGCTCCATCACAGTCTAATTTTCCTTCAACCGCAATTCCTTTCAGTAATCAAAAAACCAACACAGTTCTCAAGATTATAACAAAGTAACAGTTGCAATGGATCTATCCTTCATTATCCTATACCAGGGTGAGCGCCCCGAAGATTTTCAGCTATTGCCAAATACCAATGCCTGCAACTCTGATTATAGTTGGGACTGACATAATCTGGAGATTTGTAAGACTCCTCACCCCTCCCTTGCAATGTAAGAAATACTGAGACAAAATCCAGAAAAGGCTCAAGACATCTAGAAAGCTTTCTTTTTCAGTTTATAACCAAACATGCAATGTTGGTTTCACCCACTCTTATGTCCAAGTGGCCCCGGTTTCAAGTGTGTTTTTAAGTAACCTGTTGCAGGCTTCCCAGGGAGTTATTTAAATAGCTCCAGGCATTTTTACTTCTCCCCACCCCCAATAAAAAAAGAGCAAAAATCCTCCTGTAGGCCAAACTCTACCTGGCATATCACAGGTGTTGTTCCCACAGGCAGTGCACAGGTTCATTGTTCAAAAGGACAGAGGCCGTATATCTTATATGAGCATGCAAAAACCTAAGTGCTTTTCAATTGCACTCTAGGTTGAACCAAACCATACCAACAGCTTCACTTCCTTGCTTTTCTAGATGATTCTTCCTAATTCCTAGATGGAGCTCCAAGGGCAACCACAGAAGGATCAAAAGAAATGGATTAAATTGATTTCATAGCCTTTCTATCAGTCCTAATGACAGTTCCACTACCGCCATCATCACTACTTCATGATAGAGTCCTTGCTGCAATCCTAAACGCAGGCTGGGTTTGGGTCAACCCAATAGCTAGACTCCATTGGATTTGACAAGTTTGTGGCTTGGTGTGCATGTGATATGAGATGTGCTATCCCATTAATCCGCGCTACGATTTTATTTATTTTAAAACAGGGCTGTATGTAGGGGCGGTATTGACTTCCCTTCCCTACTGGTTTGCAAATGTGAGCGTGCGCGAGCACTCATTTTGCTCATAGACACCACGTCCGTGCATGCACTCCACCTTCTGCGCATGCACTTTGCCTTAAAAGGGGCCTAAATGGGATGTCGTAGAGCCAGGGCCGGTGGGTGGGACCACCCATGATTTCCGCTACCAGTTTGGGCGAACCGTTCAGAACCAGCAGAATACCACTTCTAGCTGTATGTCATTAACCAGACTTAGGGAACTGTATGATCCCAATCAATGAAACCTGTATTACTTCTCATGTGCAGCTTTTAACTGCATGTTCACTCCTCATTTACTGACCAGGTCATTCAGCTAAATGGTCAGTGAACATGACACACACATAGTGTGTGTGTGTGTGTGTGGTGTGTGTGTGTGTAAATCAAAGTTTGCTACTGTCTCATTCAGAAAAGGTTTTCTCATACAGCTACACTAGCATTAATCTCACCGCAATGTGTGTTGCTGTCAAGGCACACAAATTTTGGCTGTAAATGTGCACATTGGTCGGGAAATGAATCTTTTTATTACCATGGTATTTACAAAAGGTTGCTAATTGAGGTTCTCACTAAAGGAAGAGTGGATAAACTTGGAAAACTGGGTTAATAAGTAGGAACCTGTTTTTCTTCTAAGTCAGGCCAGTGCCAATACAGCCCTTGGAATAGCCCTTGAGCAAGGCTTGAGCAAGAACTACTTAATGGTGCATCCATCTAAGTGTGTCTCAGTGTCCCCCAAATCTTCCTATGTGCCACATCTTTGACAGCTCTCCTATGGTTGGTTCTGGCACTATTCTGTATAGGCAATATAAATGGGGGACTATGCAGTGCTCGTATTGTACACATCACATTTCGGGCAATCTGATTAGAAAGAAAAAGAGTGTTATTAGATGCTTAGCAACAGATCACAAGACAAGGCTTACTTACTGCCAATGTGTTATCGCCAACATTTGAGGCTATGAGCCCTTCAATTGTGCCATATTCTGCGTCCCTTGAATTCAGCCTTTCCATATGGCGCTGCCGGATCTTTCTGATGATCAGCACTGCTGCTGCCGAAAATACGATCAGCACCATAACGGGAGCCAGTATGAAAATGACAAGCATTTCCATGGTGTAACCCACAGCTTTCCCTTGAGATGGATGCCCTTCACAAAGAGAGACAACACCAAAAATATGATTAGGCAAAAGCTTGATGGAGATGGCTTTGAGAAACGTGGTCTAAGACAGGGGTGTCAATCTCAAGGCCCAGGGGCTGGATCCGGCCCATGGGGTGCTTAAATCTGGCCTGCAGGGCCGCCCTAGAAACAGCAAAGGACCAACCCACGATGCCTCTGCCAGGGAAAACAGAGCTCAGGAGGCCTGCAGGAAGCCCTCCCAAGCTCTGTTTTCACTGGCAGAGGGTTGCAGGAGGCCGTTGCAGCCAAAAAGAGAGCTCAGGAACCCGTTTTCGCTGGTGGAGTGCTTGGGCCACCACGATTGACGGAAAGCTAACCATGCCCCCCCCCGCACCCCCCCTAGGTCAAACACAACCTTGATGGGGCCCTCAATGAAATTGAGTTTGACACCCCTGGTCTAAGAGCAAGACTAATTAGAAGAAGGGGAGCCCAAGGACAGGTGTCTCCCCTTGCAATGGAAGAGCGCTGAGAAAGGAGATCAAAAACCATGTGTTGTTCTCCTGCCGCTCTCTGGAAAAGAATACTCTGGGTTTTGACAGTAGGGGGCAAAGTGGTGTACAAAAATTCCCCATGGATACTCAAATTCACGCACAGTAGGGCAAACCTGGTGCAATGAGGAGTTAAGCTATCAGTGAGAAAATAAAGCAAGCAAGCAAACAGAAAAAGTCATTCTCTCTCAATATTCCACTAATCTTGGAGTTTGTAACAACATCCATTACTAAGATCAAGTCTTCCTTGTCAGTTATGCTGATTATCAGTCTCCTGCTTGGACACTTGTACCTTTTGCTCTAATCATGAGGTGGGCAGCTTTTCTTCTGTTGATAGAAAACAGTGGCTTGTACATTTGTTTTGATCAATAAATTAACAATAATTTAAAAATATGGTAGATGAAGCTACCATTTTTTTATGTTCCAGTTGTTTATTGCTCTCAGACACTAGTCATTGTGTTCTAAATTTGCAATTCAGCATTATTCACCAATATGTGTAAATTAGGGGTTGTGACCACTCACTCACTCATGAATTCACAGGCCATTTATAGCAATGTTTTTTTTCCCCTCATCAGCCTTGTGTGGGCAGAAAGCAGGAACGCTGCCCAAACTCACTTGTGCTCTGAGCAAGCATACAGATCTTGGATCTCCTATGAAGGCTGCCGAACGAACAATGAAAGACTAAACCAGTGGTTCTCAACCTGTGGGTCGCGACCCCTTTGGGGGGGTCGAACAACCCTTTCACAGGGGTCGCCTAAGACCATTGGAAAACACATATTTTTGATGGTCTTAGGAACCGAGACACCAATTTTATGGTGGGGGGCCCCACAACATGAGGAACGGTATTAAAGGGTCGTGGCATTGGGAAGGTTGAGAACTACTGGACTAAACAGTAGAAGGGCCTTCCTCTCTGAGGTCCAGAGATGGCCTGCTATGGATTCCGGAGAATCGGTAGTTAACGTTATGGCTGGTTTGCAGAATCTCCAAATTCCACACCTGGCTGGCTCTGCCCACTCAACCCCTGCCAACCCATCCCACACGACCCATTTTGAATGTGAGATAAGTGCAAGGTCCGTGCGGAGGCTCGGGGAGGCGGGAAACTGGGCCTCCTGGAAATTCCGGAAGGCTAATAATGCAGCCTCCAGAGGGCCTCCAGAGCCCGGGTGAGGCAGTTTTTGCCCTCTCAGAGGCTCAAGGAAAGCCTCCGGAGCCTGGGGAAGGCGAAAACGCACCACCCTCCCACCGTGGTGCAAGACGCCGACTTGGCCATGCCCACCATGCCCACGTCCACCCAGCAACTAGGCAGAGAACCCGTTGCTGAAATTTTTGAAGCCCACCCCTGCTGAGGTCTCTTTAACAATGAAACAAAAAAGTCTCACCTTTCGTTGGTAGCTCTGCTGTTACGTTGAAGTTGCACAGGTCCCCTTGACAGCATTCCACTGCTTGATCTGAGGATGGAGGAGTTCTACATGTCATCTTCCCCTGCTCATAAACTTGGAAGCAGCCCTTCTGATAAACTCTTTCTCCATTGTTGATGCTCAAGGAGGAGAAGCACCTATGTCCTCTGCAGCGGACTCCGTTCACACATGACATGCCTTCACACACACATTCATAGTCGGTCATTAATTTTAGCTTGTCGTCTGTGGAGAAAAGGAAACAGACCATTTTATTAAGCCACGTGCATGCATACATTCAGAGTCATTTCATCAAAAAATATCATCAGTTTTGTGGACATTTTTGCAGAATCCATTTCCCCCTCTTGGTTCAGGTATAGTGCATTAAAATTCCATGAAAATGCAAACTGCAAAGCATTTGTGTATAATTCTGTTGAGTTTATGTTTTAAGGTTAAATTAAGCAGACATCATGTTAAGCCAAAATGTGCTTTGTTTGGCTTTGGCTTACCATGAGGGTAGGGAGTCAACTAGAGATTTGCAAACCACTGTTCAGAATTTAATATATGTACAAACCCAATGCATTTATTTTTATTTGTATCCTGCCTTTATTATTTTTACAAAAAACTCAAGGCATATCCAACACATCTTCCTCTTCCTATTTTCCCCAAAACAATAACTCTGGGAGGCTAATTGGCTGAGAGAGTCACTGGCCCAAAGTCAACCAGCTGGCTTTCATGGCTAATGCAGGACTTGAACTCATGGTCAACTGAGGTTTACTCAACAAGCTATCCTTAATCAAACATCATACTAAGCCATAATGTATAGCTTTCTTGGTTTAGGCACAAAGGCTTATTTTCATTAAAAACTTATTCAATAAACCAATATTGGACAGACAACGGTTCAATATATGTAAGTCCATCCATAATCCTAGCTTGTCATCCATTTGTAAAGCACACTGTAGATGATGCTGATATCACATCTCACCATAGTTAAGCTTCCATAAAGATGGTTCAGAACATTGTTTAAAGGAGGCCATTGCCCAAGGACACTGGCATTCTCAGAAAACCTTGCATCTTCTCCCTTTGTCTCCACAGCTTTGTGTGGCTTTTCTGGCTTCTATCCAGTGGTGGGTTCCTACTAGGTCAGACCAGTTTGGCAGAAGCGGTAGTGGTTTGGCGGCCTGAGTCATTGGAACCCAGTGCCAGCGACCCAGGCCTGCCATGTCCCTGAAGCGGTTCTCCAAAATTGCTCTGTGCATGTGCAGAAGCAAAAAACAAGATGGCTCCGCACATGCACAGAGCATTTTTTATTGCACTGCACATGCGCGCACAGCACACATCAAGCGCAAGCATGCATGGTCACGAGCAAACTGGCAGTAGTGACTGCCGGAACCTACCCCTGCTACTATCAATAATGTAACTATCAAGCTCCACGCAAGAGAGATCACGACATGCATGCAACAAATATCTTCTCCAAAGGATATATTAAATTACACTTTAAAAAAATCAGGAGGAAGGGAATAGATTTATCTAAATATAATCAAGCAAACAGCATGGAGAAAGACAGAAGGCATCCACCTGGCACACTTGGAATAGGACACAGAACATGCAAGATGTAGCACTAAACGCCACTCCTTATCTACTCACTTACATACACCATTGTCAAGGAAAGACAACTGTACTTGGCATATGAAGCAGAACATTAAACAAATACCTCCCAAGTAGGTCTAAAAATAAAACAACGCAGCCAAATAATACTCTTTTGTGACAACCAAAATATGCTGACTCTTGAGAATCCCAGCCTTCTGGGCATCTGCTGGAAAAAAAAAATCACCTGCTTTTGTGTGAGAGAGGAGTGGGGAGGGAGGGAGAGGGAGGGGAGAGGAGAGGGAAGGAGGGGAGAGGAGAGGGAAGGAGATAAATTGTCCCATGAAATAGTGGTTTTTAGATCTTTGGGGAAGAGGGACCAAGGGAACAGGAATGTGAGGATGCCTCCTACACCTTAGAAGTGTTCTGTTGATCACTTAATGATCCTATACATCTGGGGTTCTGGAGATATGCAAGAATTGCGTATGTACAGACTGAAACTAATTGGAAATTAGCCAAATTATATTTTTATCCAATGAGTGCTAAACTATGTTTGGAAACAGTGAAATTTATTCTGCAAGGTGCCTTGTTGGCAAAGCAATAGAAACTTACATTATTTGCATCAATATCTATACATGTCTGTGTATTTATATATAATCAAAGCTATACAGTTTTAAACTTGAGGAAAAAGAACATATGGTTCTGAAGGAAAAACAGAGCTAATTACATAAAACAACATCTAAAAATAATTCATGGCATGGACCCTGATTTTCAGTTCTGGCACATGTTTTATTTCCTGACTGCAATTCCATACTTTGTATTTTAAAACTACAACTCCAAAACAAATCTGATTTGTCAATAAACAATCAAAGTGGGGTCCTTGGTGCTCTCTGAGCTTGGTTGTTTGATTGTAGACATTTTGTTATCCAACTAGGAAAATTAACTAGTTGGGTAATTGTTGTGGCCCAGCAGGAGCTGTTGGAGCTGCCACCAGACTCCGACAGTGAGGGGCCCTATGAGTCGGCTCTGGAAGATGTGGA